TGGTCTTCATAAGGATGCTCCTTTCCTTCTGGAATAGGGAAGGCATATCACATGAGGGTTTTCTAACCTATTTCAGAGAAGGTGGGAGAAAGGTCCTAGGGTGAACACACTGCGTCTGCTTGTTTTCTCCAATTCCTTCAGCTTAAAATATTCAGTGTGCTAAATTGACATATTTGCGGGGAGAATATCCTGAATCCCATCACAAATCACAACTCAGATTGTAACTGCAGACAATTCATTTCATACACAGCGTATTTCTAAAGTCAACTAGAATTTTTGAAGTAGTTATATACACAGGTGTGGACTAGATTGACCATATGATTTATTTTCTAATCCAGACTATTTTAGAGTAAAAATAGGTGCTAATAATAGTTACACAGCTAGAAAAGTTGTAAACCAGGAAGGAAATAATAGTCACTCTGGGATGAGCAAATAGTTGATTGTGAAGCAAAATATTTGTTTGGTATGTGCAGAAACATTTCAAGGGGAATCGGCTTTTCAAGGGGAAATTATGAATTAAGAAAACTAAAAAGAGGCAAATCACTGCTTTTTCCAGCCTTTAGTATTTATGAAAGGGACATAAAATCAGAACTTTGTGTAAAATGATGAAGGCAATGATAGCATCTCTCACCACTCAGTTCATAATATATTTGCATTTTGAAACTATTTAAGGTAGGAAAAAATCTTCATCCAATTGTTTCATCCTTTTATTTTTTGCAATTTTACAGGTGACACTGAGGGATATATCAAAACATCACAAACATGTTGACTGCATAATGTAACCACTAACTGTTCATTTCTCAGGTATATATAGATATTAGAAGATGATTTTGTTTAGAATCATAATTTTTGTAATATAAATAAATTAATAATTATTTCAAACTTGAAACCATTATTTTCTTGAGAAAAAAAATGGGTCACAATTAGTAGAAAAGTATCTTTGTGTCCAAAGCAAATAACTAAAGTTCACAATACCTTATCTTTCTAGGATAAATAGAACACATAAAACAGTGCCCAGAACATCGTAAATAAAAAACTGCTTTAAAAATCATACTAAAAAAAATGCTTTACACACCAAATACAACCAGCAAACACTGAATTTCCTAGAAATCAAGTATCTTTGGCAAAAGACTCCTGTTTCTATCTATCCATGAACACCTAAAAAAAAAAATAAAGTGGAATATTTAACTTAAAATATTTTAGATAATCAGGGGGCCTTAGCATTTTTCCCGGAAAAGGATTTCACTAAAATCTTGTCATGTTATCTAGAAAACCAGCATACCATGTATTAATGCACAAAACCTATTGAAATGACTGGCATGAACTGATGTGGTATAACATAGCTACTCACCACCCCCATGCTTGGCAGCAGTCAGGCTGTGCCATGCAGTGCAATAGACATTTTGTCCGGCACATGCTTTAGCCACAATCTGATTCCTCTCCCGGCAGACTGTTGAACGAAAGTGTAAACTCATCATTTATATCACGGAGAACAAAGATAAACAGAGCCTCACACCTCTCAAATTATCTATTATGCTGCAAATGCTGGTAATTTATGGTGGAGAAAAGAAACTACAGTAAAATGACGTTTTGAAGGATGCTGCTTAACTATACTCAAATGCAATAAATATACCCTTAATCTAGGAGATGAAGTAGTTCTCATAAGCATAGTGTACTGCAGATGTTATATATATTTATGGCTCTGGCCCCATAAATTCATAATGATTTCCTTCTGGGTATTAAAGGCCAAAATATGATTTTTGACAGATTATATATTTTGAAACTCTTACTTTGATACTTAATTTTAAGTGCAGTTATTTCTGCCATTCCTGAAGGAAAATACATGTAATAACCAGTAGGGCATGGTTCTCCCAAAGCATATAGTTACGCTTGCTTGAAGGAAGTCAGCCAGGCATTACCAACAAAAGTTAGCACTTCTGTTGTGGCTGAAGTTATTCCCATATGTGGCATTTTCTAACTTTCATGATTATACTACCTTTTTTTTCTTTTAAATCGGGGATCACCATTTTTAGGATATTTATCTTCTAATATCTACAGAAGAAATTAGCAGTGCACATAAAGTCTTTTCTTTAACAAAGTTTGATCAGTTTTTTCTTAAGAAAAATATGATCTTTCTTTGCAACAAGTTTCATATTCTAAGCACCAATGAAATATGCACTGAAAACAGGTAGTGTATTCTACTATCTTGAAAACATAAGAGTAGTTTGTGAAAGATAAAACACAGAGGTACTGCAATATTCTATATTTCCTAAATATATTCCTGTCTGTCTACTGAAGTGGGTACTTCAGGTACATCCTGACTATAATTTAATCACTTTAGTAAATGAGTGCCACTTACAGTAAATCTGATCATATTCTGTTCTGAAGTAAATCTGATCTTTTTATTTGCTGTCAGCTCCTTTTGAAAACAAATTTTCCCACTCTAGTTCCTTAAAGTCACAATAATGCTTTCCTGGGTTCTTCATGAGAGAAAACAAGCTAATTCAAATATGAGAATGACAGCTCATAACCTAAAACCACAAGCATTTAAAACCTTTTGACTTACTTTTATGTAGTAACTAATTTTACGCGAATCACAGTTTTTTTGAAATGACTGAAGAGACTGTCATCAATTATTCTTTTTCTGTCTTTTTTTACTTTTAGTTTTTAAAAGTTTCATGGGGCACCTGGGTGGCTCAGTTGGTTAAGCGTCCAACTTCGGCGCAGGTCATGATCTCGCAGTTCATGAGTTCATGCCCCATGTCAGGCTCTGTGCTGACAGCTCAGAGCCTTGAGCCTGCTTCAGATTCTGTGTTTCCCTCTCTCTCTCTCTGCCCACTCCCCCACTTGTACACTCTCTCTCTTTGTGTCTCAAAAACAAATAAACATTTTAAAAAATGTAATAAGAATAAAAATTTTTAAATTTACAATAATTTGGTAATGTTACCAAATCTCCAGTCAGTGATCAAATTTCTTATTGTCTCATCAATGTCTTAATTAAAATTTTTTTCTTGCATAAGAATCCAAATAAAAATCCCTACATAGTTACTAGTTGGTATATGTTTAAGTCTTTTTCTTTTTAAAATGTATTTAATGCTATTGTTACTGGTGGCTTAAATTTACTAAACCTACTACTTTATTTTAAAACCACCTTATTGAGGTATGATTGACATACAAAAATATATACATATTCAAAGGATACAACTTTATGAGTTTGGAGATAAGTATACACCTGTGAAACAATCACCGCATCAATGTCATGAACATTTTTATCACTTCCAAAAGTTTCCTCCTGCCCTATTTATCAATATTTTGTGATAAGAACATTTAACATAAGATCTACTCTCTTAAAAGATTTTTAAGTATACACAACAGCACTGTTAACTATGGGCTCTATGCCATATAGATCTTTACCACTTATTCATTGTGTATAATTGAAACTTTGTACCCTTTGATTAATACTCTCTTGTTTCTCCTCCTCCCCAGCCCCAGAAACCAACAATCTCCTCTCTACTTCCAAATATGACTACTTTAGATTCCTCATATAAGTAGTGCCATGTAGTATTTGTCCTTCTGTGCATGGCGTATTTCACTTAGTGTAATGTTCTCCACATTCACCTACACTGTCACACATGGCAGCATTTCCTGCCATCTTTTGTAAAGCTGAATAATATTCCGTTATGTTACATATACCACATTTTCTTTATCCACTCATCTAATGATGAACATTTAGGTAGTTTCCACCTCTTGGCTATTGTGAACAATGTTGCAATGAACATGGGAGTACAGATTCTTAGGTCTTTTTCAACCTTTAGATTTCGACTCCTTTAACATGCATATGCTCTCTCCTTGCAGTTTTATTTGTTGATGAAAGTAGATTCCTTGAACTACCCTATTTCCCATAGTGTGAATTTCACCAACAGCGTCTATGTGGGTTCCTTAACACTTTTCTCTGTCATATTTCTTGTTAAATTGGAAATCGGATCTAAAAGCTTAATAAAACTCAGATTTAATCCTTTTGGCAAGAATACTCCATAAACGCTATTGTTAAGTATTCTTTAATAGTAGACATATTCACATAGCATTTTGACCATCATAGAAATGTGGTTAAAAGCATAGGCTCTGGAGACTAAATACATGGAAACTAATCCTGGTTTTGCCTTGGTGTAGTGGTGAAAACATTGGCAAATGAATTAATCAGTATCTCACTTCCTTCACCTATGAAATGGGGCTAACAAATATACCTAACAAGATTTCTGACAGGACTACATAAATAAATTAACACAAAGCACCTCAAATAACACCTGGTACATAGTAAGTATTCAATATATTGTAGCTATTGTTACCAAGTAGCTGAAATTAATTATAAAGAGGAACATTCAGAAAACATTTGCAACAATTTTTATCCGTACAGCAGCCAAATTGATAAGTCTAGTAAAGGTGGATTTTCAACACCTAATATAAAAGCAGAAATGTGAGTGGACTAAAAGGTCCAAAGATATCAGTGAACTGGTAATGAAGGATGCAGCCTTTTGATGGTAGGTCAATGATTAAACACCCCACAGGTTACTAGTGATTGAAAGAAATTGCTGCTCTCCAGTTCTGTTAAATGTATTATGTCCTTCCATATATACCTTTCTTGGCTCAACCTCAGAAAATAACCACAAACACGATCAATTCACGTTTTATTCTTTCTTAAATATACTTTGGTAGCATCAAACCAAGCAAAACAATTCTCTTAGCAAGGCAGAAGAAATAGGTTCATCTCTCACTATCCAGAGTAATAGTTTGTGAATCGTTTCACTCTTTTAGAAATAGGGCATAAATGTTTTGCACATTCAATCAGTAGTTTATAGAATTTTTAAGGGAGCAAAATCACTTAATATACATTTTTTAAATCACAATCTTGAGAATGGCTATTAACTAAGGATTTAGCAAACATTAAATTATAAAATCCATAAGATTGGAAAATAGTGAAGATTTGAAGTCAGATGAGCAATGGAAAATTTAGGCTGGGTATTTAAGGAAACTGCCTATTAGCAAGAACTATTAGATAATGGAATGGTACTTTTCTTAAGCTCCATAAATTTCAAAAGTAAATTGGAAAACATATTGGAAGAAAATGTTCCACCCCACCAGGGGAATAAATGAAATGGGCTTTTCATCTCCTGTTTCTATAAGCTGGTCTGCAAATTAGATGTATAAAATTTACCTACCCAAACTATGAACACGATAAGTTCAATATTAGGTTTAGTCCAAGTTTCACCGGGAAAAGTTCCATTTCCAGATCCTCAGCCAAAAGCTGAATAATACCAATATGGAAATTTGGAGCAAAATCAATTGTTAAAGTCAGATTATGAGATTTTAACTGCCATTCTAAAACTACTTATACAGCCTTTCTATGTTATTTCCACTTGCCAAATCAACACCCAAGAGTCATTTTGACATTTAAAAAAAAAAACCCCAATTACACATCCAACTGCTGATTTACAAAGCAAAAGGCAACCTGTGATTTTGGCTTTAAAACCCAGTTTGCCTTAGGGATAGATGGATGAAAGAAATTCTAGCCTACTGTTTAAGGGCTAATATTCCCACATTTTCATATCCCATTTAGGGCAGGCAGATTTTAGCACTTCAGCTTAGGCAGTATCACTTTATAGAAGGTGCTTGAGTGGAGTAGGCAGCACGCGGGAATGGGATAATAAATGGCGGAGAAGCAGAGGCTGCTGCAGGTAGACTCCTATGCCAAGCGCCAAAGGAAAATGGCTGTGAAAGCGAACACATTTTTTTCTGTGAGCGAGGGATGAGAATTTAATAGTAAAACAGTAAATTGAGTTTCTGTCCTTTTGCCTCTTACTAGAATTTCTTTGTTGTCCTTTGCATGGGGAAGGTTAACAGCTCAACCTAATTCTTCACTCCGAGGAACTTTACGGGCTGTCATTTGGTTGAGGTCTAATGGGCCTCCTGGGATTTGATAGCTGAATGCACGCTCACCGGAGCAAGCTGCTCCACAGAGGGCCTGGAAAAGAATGTTTGAGTTGGAGAGAAGGTGCTGCTGCTCCAACTGCTTTTCCACCTGCAAAAACAGAACCTTTGGGGACGGTAGCACTGCAGTTAACAGGGGATCTCAGGAATGAGAAAGGTGTTAAAGTAGCCAGTTCTTCTGTTTTGCCAAGGATTTTCCGGTCTTGCTGTTTTTGGCAAAATTTTGAAATATCCCACTTCTCTCACCCTGAGCTTTTCCCTTCCCATTTCTCAGGGATGGTTTTGAGGATTGGGATGACTAGTCCAAACAGAAAGACAGAATTTTAAGAGGATGTGGGAGTCACACTCCTGGGCTCCCCCACATGCCTCTAAGCAGCACTCAGTTGCAGTGCAGAACTGGGGACTCTTGCAGGGGAGGGAGAGAATGGCCAACAGCAATAAAAAGATCAAGTTGCCCACCATCTCAACCTCCATATTGGAGAGGAACACCCTAAAACCTCTTGCTGATGAAATCAGATGGAAAATTTCAAAGCTATCAGTGAAAATGTCACAGAGTCACTCCAGAGGATTCTGAAAGTCAAGTTCATATGTAACCATGTTGAACTGGGTAAAATGCTCCCGATGAGAGCACATTCCCAACCATTCCTTTTCTAAAATTTCAAATGGAAATCTGAATCTTCTACACCAGCCCGTTATGATATAGTGACAGTCTTTTGTCCCACACCTAATGTTTCCAAATGTTACTTTTGAGTGCATAACACACAGAATTTAATTTTTTTCTTGGGTGTTTAAAAGTTGTAGTATATTAAAAAATATATGGTATCAAATATGCCATTTTAACCATTGGTAAAGGCCCAAATCCTTGGCATTAGTTACATTCACAATGTGTTGCAACCATCACTACTATTTACAAACTATTTTCATCCCACCGAACAGAAATTCAGTAAAATAAAATGTTTTTAGAGAATAGTTTTTGCTATCATGGCTACCATAAGTAATGGTCAATGCAGTCTCAGAGTAATATGATTAGTAGTCATGTATGTATTTTCTAAAAGGAAATGAATTAGCTTAAAATAATTATTTTAAGTGTAAAACCACTGCCAAGTCATCGCAATACATACAGTAGTTGTGATTAATGTCATCTAACTGATCAGACATTTTTGTATAATATAAAATTTCAATGATTAATTAGGATTGATGGCCTAAAAAAATCATACTAATCATTGAAAACATAGCTCAGACAATAAAAACAAAAGCAAAAAGTTATGTCAAAGGCTATAAAAATGTAGAACTACAAAGATGAATTTATAAGGTCAGAAGAATCAAGGCATGATTAAAATCTAGAACTAGAGGGGCACCTGGGTGGCTAAGTTGGTTAAGTATCTGACTTCAGCTCAGGTCATGATCTTGCCGATTGTGGGTTTGAGCCCCACACTGGGCTCTGTGCTGAAAGCTTAGAGCCTAGAGCCTGCTTTGGATTCTGTCTCTCTCTCTCTCTCTCTCTCTCTCTCTCTCTCTGTGTGTGTGTCCCTCCCCAGATTGTGCTCTCTCTCTCTTTCTCAAAAGCAAATAAATAAACATTAAATAATTTTTAAAAATAATAAAATAAAATCTAGAACTATAAAATATTATTTTAGAAAAACATTTCCAGATGAATAGATTTCAAAAAAAAAAAAAAATTTGAGATGTGCTTTTGAAGCAGCTTTGGGGAAAGATCCAGGATATCAATTTTGGAGGTTCATATGTAATGTTATCTCAGTCACTGATCAAAATTGCCCTGTCTTTCAAAAGGCAAAAGTAAAATATGAAATATAGATTTACCAGTTTTAGGCACAGCTTCTCATTTCAGTCAATTCTTGTTCATTGATTAGTAAATCCAATCAATGGCAATGACAATTTGAGAAGTAAATCCCTCCATCAAATCTTAAATCTTGCACATTGCCACTGTGAAGTTCACCCTTTCCTTTATCATCACGAATTTCAATGCTATGTAAGGTAAGTGCATCATTTATTTTAATCCTGTTGAAATGAATGGATGGACTTAAATAACAATGCAAGCCTTTTTCCATGAAGTGCTGTAATTCTCTTTGAAGTGATAGCACTTTTAGGATTAAGATATATACATTTTGGTTCTTTGACTAGTTGTCCTTTCTTTTTGTACTATATTAACAAGAATTTAAAGCAAGACTAAGTCACTTCTGTCTTCTAATTCAAGTCTTAGAGTCTTAAACAAAATTCTACTAGTGTAGCCAACAAAGATGAATAACTATTTTGAAGGGAATCAAACTATAATTTAGTAACTACAGACTATGGTTTTCTACTTAATCACTTGTGTTAGAGTGGCTATCGATAGAATCAGTCTTGAAAATAATTTCATTTATTATCACATTGCCACTATTAAAATTAAAGAAGTTTGAGATACTATTGCAGAGGAAATGAATAACTATTTAATTCTTAATTCATGTTAACTTTATGCTTACTGCATCCTGCAATGAATTCATCCAATACTTCAAAAAAATTTATGAGATGTTCAAAATAGATATTATCAAAAAGATATGCATAATAGGAAATAAGCCAGTTATTTATTTAGAACATGTGGTAAGTAACAATGTAATATAGCTTTCTGAAAAGATGGTTGCTCTTCTAGAAATAGTTATACACAAAAATAATTATATATGATATTTAGAATGTTTACTTATTTTAGATAAAATTAAAATGCTAACAGTTTCCATTATAGAAACTGTTCAAAAGAAAATGTCAAAAGAAGGAAATCTTTCTGTATAGTACTACTTAAGTATAATCACTCTTAAAATTTCAGAATATTTCTTCCCATATTTTCCTTTTATAATGTTATTCCTTTTCCTAATTCAAAAATAATATAAACCAAGATATGAAAACTTGGACAAATCAACTGACACAAAGTAAAATAATAATAATGTAATGTTTTTAAAACCCATATATTTCAACAATCTAAAGATAATCATTGTAAATAAATTGGTATATGTTCTTTGGGTCCATCTTTTGTGTTTAATTTTATGTTTTTTCCAAACACTTTTTAACAGTAATAGTTTGTTTTCTCCTAATTAAAAAAATAACAAAATGCTTAATGCAGAACAATTGGCAGAGGGAGTGAAAAAGTGATGTAATAAATTATCTATAACCTTAACCAAAAGAAATTTACAGGTAATTTTATTCATGTACTATGAATATGCTTTGAGTCTTAAATACTTCCATTATCCATAAACAGATACGAGCCTTTTTTATTATGACTTATAAGACCTCAAAGCATATTAGGGGTTCACTTAAGGAAGAATATCAAAAATATTCTCTGACGCTGTCAGGGCAAGTTATGATAAATGGTAATTCTCATTCTTAGCTACCAAGGCCCTCCCATGTCCTAGTGCCCTCTCTGACAAACCATCTCTTACCCTTCCATCCTCTTCTACTCATCTCTTAGCAAGTCAGCTCCCTTCTTTCCTTCATTTCTACCTTGCAGATTCCACTCAAGCTACTCTACATTCTTGCAATACTGCCTTTTGTTGCCATTGTTGTTGTTTTGTTGTTGCTGTGTATGTTAAAGTAATCCAATGTCTAGTATTTGTAGAGACTTGAGTCAAAGCTTTCCCTAAGTAGTATGTCCTTTGCTATAGCTCTGAGATTATATTCCCTAACAAATATCCCAGGTAGGGTCTCAGGGAAACAAGAAAGTGACTTAGTCATTAGAATAGGCCAGGCAATGACAGCAAACAGGAGAAAGGTACCAGATTCCCGGAACCTGACTAAAAGATCAGAAAAGGATCCAAACATCGCTGACCTTTGCAGACAGACTGACTTACTGCTTTCAAGCTTTGGCTGGAAACAGGACTGATTTCTAAGCCGGAAACAGGACTGATTTCTAACCAGGCTTGATGTTTATCTGAAAGATGCCTAAATATCCCCAGCAATAAAAATGGAATATGCTGCAATATGAAATCATGCAAGACATTACTCTGACTTAAGCAGTGGAATAATGTGATATTTAGGGATGGATCCAGATTTTTGTGAGGCCTGAAGTTTGTATAATTTGTGGGGCTCTCTAAGAAGAAGAATATAAAATTACAACAGCAAAATCAGGTTTGAAATAATGCTTTAGAATAAGAAAAGAATGCCAACAAAATATGGACAGTCATGCATGTTTATATTTTTAGATCTCTTTAGAAAATTAACAGATGTGATTACATATACATGCTTCCTCATAGCATCCTGCCTCCATTCTCCACGAGAACATTCCTCAACTTCCAGCACTCACAGGGGCCTGTTCAGGTGAGAGGCACTGAAGCTGAAACTTTGTTAGCTTCATGGCAAATCCGCTTCTGATTTTAATTGTAAAACTTCAGGCAATAGGAGCCAGATGGTGAGATCACTTTAGCAGGCAAGCAGTCCTTCCTAATTTCCTTGAAAGGGCACCAAACAGAATTCTCACTGAGTGCTATAAAGGTATAAACAAAGTACAATACTATGGAAGTGCAATGGTTCAGAAGAGGAGGGAGCCTAAAAGAAGTCTAAGGGACAGGTGTGAGGGGTTTGAGAGGGTTCCCAGAGCTGAGCCCTGAACAGTGCCTTGGATTTGACAGAGAGGCAGAGAGCATTCAAGATGGGAACAAAAACAAGTATAAGAGAACAAGGCAGCACAAGGACAAAACGAGAATTTCAGGTGAAGTTTGACTTATGATATATTGGGATTTGGAGTGAGAAAAATGAGTGTAACCACAGACTGCCTTAGAATTTCGGACGATCTGGAGCACTGGGTTGAGGAACGCACGGTGGATTCGGATGGCAATGAGAACCACACAGAATAAAAAACAAGGTTGGTTTTATTTGTTGTAAAGAAACCAAGAAATCTTCAGTGAAATGCTTAGGTCGCCAAGCTAATTATTAACTGAAAAATCAGAAAACTGCAAGAAGAGTTTTATTATTATAACACCTGAGATCACAATAAAGAACAGTTTATATGTGTGGGGGTGGAGATGGGGGTATAGGCTAAAGAAGAGAAAACTCAACAGGTTTCTCCCCATCGAGAGAAGTCCTCTAGTCACAGTGCATGTAAGCTGAAGACACTTGCCAATGCTGAATCAAATGTGTTAATAGGAAAGGTCTATTCGGAGTAATTAAGAAGGCAAGTCCTACTGCTACCCTTTCTGCTTTGGAATCTTTCTCCATCACTTAGTACAATTTTAGGCATACTGCTCAGTTGTGTGCCTCAGTTTTGGCACCAATTAAATGGGATTGGTAATACCTGCCCCTGCTGCTGTGTTGAACACCCACAATCGATAGGTTATGAAAGCACTCGGCAGTGCCTGGCTTGGGTCATGTGGGCCATACTGTTAGCTGTAGTTCTCGGTATTCCTATGTCTGGTTCTAGTGTCACTTAGAATACTGAGACAGGGGCGCCTGGGTGGTGCAGTCAGTTAAGCGTCCGACTTCAACTAGGTCACGATCTCACGGTCCGTGAGTTCGAGCCCCGCGTCGGGCTCTGGGCTGATGGCTCAGAGCCTGGAGCCTGTTTCCGATTCTGTGTCTCCCTCTCTCTCTGCCCCTCGCCCGTTCATGCTCTGTCTCTCTCTGTCCCAAAAATAAATAAACGTTGAAAAAAAAATTAAAAAAAAAAAAAAAAGAATACTGAGACAATCCCTTTTTCAATCAGCTGCACTTCCTAAAGTTCCTAGGGAACTTTCATCGTATCTCAACCACAGCCCCCGGCACACAGTACTGAAATTTCCTGCTTATAGGTCTAGAGTCTCCACAGTTAATTTCCTTGGAGGCAGGGACCATGCTGTTCAATTCTAGCAGGCAGCACAGCAGTTAACACAATAAAGGCCCACTGAACACATAATCAAGAGTAAGAGTGGTGGTTAGCTCTGCGGAGATGAGCATTGACTGTAAAGGGGCAGGAAGAAAGCATCTGACACGACAGAAATCCGTATCTTGACCTGAATGATGGTTACACGAGTATATAATATGTGTAAACATTTGTTAAGCTAAACTCTTAAAATTCTTGTACTTTCTTTGTTTCAATGGGAATATTTTATTCCTCAATTTTTAAAAGTGAAAAAATGCAAAAATACAGCATGTAAAACTCATCTATGTTATTAGAAGTCAGGATACTACTTACCATCATGATGAGCTTGTGACTAGAAGAGAACAAGAGTAGGCCTTAGCGAAGTTGGAAATTTTCTTCACTTGACAAGTGAAAAGAGTGAGAATAAGTGAATAAGAAATACACACACAAACACAAGACCTCCCTATTTTGATGAAAAGAAGTCAGTTTCTTCAACCCATGCTCCCTAGTCTCACATCAGAACCAGCTAAAATGAGATTGCAAATCTCACTTTCTCTCTCTAATATATGACCCATCTGTGTAGATGAGTGTGTATAAAGACACTTTGGTATTATGTATACATGGTAGGAGCACATTTATTAGTAATTTTAGCACATGGCGAATTGTAAATCTTCTCCGAATTCAACTCTTTCAGATACTACTTTTAACACATGGGTTTTAAGAATAATTAGCTAGAAATACTTTTGCTATAAAGTGTTTTTTCAATTATTTTCTTTTACAGATCGTCTTAGAGTCACAAAAATCTTTACTTATTCTTCTTGCCTCAGATGAACTATTGTTTAAAACAAGACTTAAATAGAAATGTAATTCAGTCGCTTCTACTAAAGATGTTCTTAAAACATTCCTAGGGCTTAAAAAAAGTAGTTTCACACATTTTTGCCCAATTTCCCTGTAGAGCATTTATGCAATGATTTGGACTCTATTTGGTGCACCTATGCTAACAGCAGGAATTCTTAATATAGGTATACGTTTAGCAGCCACATTGTGAACAGCATGAATAGAGGAATAAACATGACCTCAAATCAAAAGATCAGCACAATACCCCTAGCACCAAAAGGCAGGGAGGAAGCCTTTGGCTCTGGTTTCCATGAACAGAATTCGGCAAGATTTCAGTTAATTAATTGCAGCCAAGTCTGTGCTAAGAGCAAACCCATGGGATAAAAAGGTACCAGACTACAAGGAGAAGCAAAAACTTAGGACTCAATCCACCCTACACTACTCCATATCATTTGAATGAACAGCCTAAGCTCAGTGCTTTTAAATAAAATAATATTTCTCACAAAACTTTTTATATTATTAAAGACTTCAAAGTGCCAAAAATATATTTTAACTAAAAACCTTATTATTTTCTTCTAATTCTCTTTTCCATGTATGATTTATTTTCCAAACACAGATTTCAACAACTTAGAAAGTACTATGTTTGGAGGAAGATTCAAAGGTAGCTTTTCTCTTTCCTAAAAGGGAAAATCTAGAAATACATCAGTCACTGGTGTCAATCCATGACAGTTCAAATCGCCAAAGGTATTTGATAAACTTTAATCACTGTCACAACTGTAAAGGTTACTGAGCAGCTCCAACACAAATCAATTACAATTGCATTACACAAATGTGAAAATGTGTGTGTTTGTGTGTGTGTGTGTGTGTGTGTGTGTGTGTGTGTGTTTGTGCGTGTGCCCTTGACAGTTAAATCTTCGGGTATATCAGTATTAAGTTCACCTACGCATAAAAATAACAACAGTAAAAACAATAACACCAACAAAAAAGGACAAACAAAATTAACATGTATTCTCATTCAGTAATAGATTTAGGCAGCCCAGAGCTGTTTTGCAGCTTCCAGCTACTCTGCCATCTTTAGTGTGCTGCCTCACTTCACAATATGGCTGCTTCTGCTCTGGTCATCATGTCCACATCCCAGGAATAAAAAAGAGACGAAGAATGGAAACCTCACTCCATTTGAGGATATTACCTGAAAATTGCAAACAACACTTAATTCTCAGTGTTCAAAATTTATTCATAAGGCCACAACTATTTCAAGGGGAAATTCAGTTTTTGAGTGGGCAGCAAGGTAGTCAGCTAAAATTGGGGTTCTTATTAATAAGAAGAGCAGAAGAAGTGACATCTGGAATGGACAGAATTTTTTCTCACTTTAAAAACATTAAAAACAGATTACTGGCCTCCTAGGGGAAAAAAAAACCTACTAGATGATTCAGTCTAATTAAAATGAAAACAGGTCTATTATTCACCATAATGTAAACAAAAGCTAACTAAACTTTCAATTTTAAACTGAATATTTCACTGACATTCATAAATATAAGTAAAAAAATTTCTATATATCAGAGAACATCCAAAACTTAAAAAAAACTGTATAATTATATTTTATTGACTGGGAGAAGGAGAGGGGGCTGATTAATTTCTTTTAAAAGAGAAAAAATAACTTAGAAATAATTTCATCCCACTCCTAAATCAGAATTAACGCTCTCAGTTGGGAGTTACACTGTCATATTTGAGAACCACTGATTTGAACATACTATTTCTGGAAATGATTTCTTTTAGTAATTACTAACAGTTTATGAAAAGATCTGCAATTCTATTTTTCCAAGTGTTCAAGTAATCTTAACTCATCAAAATGCTAAAATCTTTTATATCAAAGTTGTCTAAGACTTATTCATATAAATGCCCTGCCTGTTCCCTGACAGCTGGAACCTCTTAGTGCAGACCTGTAGCCTCAGCCCCACCCCAAGTGCTGGGACTCATCTGGTCTCTGAGCAGGAATCCATAGCTCATGGTCCATCTTGCAGGTCCACTCTAACCTAGCAACCAGGTTTTCGGAGCAGAGCCTCTGCACTCTGCCTCATGCCAGGCTTTCCTTGTACCAGACTCTTAAAAACCCATTCCACAGCACACTGGACAGTCCCTGTCAAAGACTGTGAATAAATCCACCATTAATAGGAATCCATACCTCATCATTTAGCTCTTCATGCTGTTTTTGAACACCTATTAATGGATTTAGTAAACCAACACTGAAGTCGACTGCAAGTCGGGCATGTTGCCAGGCATTGGCGATAAAAAAGATCAAAAGCACAGTCGCCTGCCCTTTGGTGGGAGGGACAGCTGAAATTGTGAAAATGATATTCCTTATACACAGTTAGATTTGGTCTCCTAGAATGTTCTTCCATTGTTCTTAAGTCTGAACTCTGTAGTCACATGGAATAGATTCCCATTCAGAGTTCCACAAATCCACCCTTCAATGTGGAATATTTCAAATAAGATTCCATTCCTGTTAGTCTCCCGAAACTTCACTGCAACTTGCACATCCTACAAATAACCTTCCTTCAAAATCATACACACACTCGTTTCTTTCTCTTCTCCAAGCTCTTAAAACTGTGTTACTGTAATTCTTAAGTCAAATGAGTTTGTTTCTTCACTTTCTGTGAGATAAATCCCAGTTTGAAAATATCCTTCTTAGAATATAGCATTTAGAGGGGTGCCTGGGTGGCTCAGTCAGTTAAGCGTCTGTATTCAACCCAGGTCATGATCTCACAGTTCTTGAGTTTGAGCCCTCGTGGGGCTTTGTGCTGACAGCTCAGAGCCTAGATCCTGCTTCAGATTCTGTGTCTCCCTGACTCTCTGCCCCTCCCCTGGCCGCACTCTCCCCCCCCACCCCGCTTCAAAAATAAATAAACATTTAAAAAATTTAAAAAACAAGAGTATAGCATTTAGAAATGAATACAAGAAAATGCCCCAGTATGTCTTAACTCTACTTAACAGAACTTAGTTATTTCATTTAGAATACCATGTCACAATTCTTGCCCCCCCCCTAAAAAAAAAAGCTGAAAATGAGTTTAAGGAACTTCTCAGATCACTTCTGAATTTTTTTTTCAACGTTTTTTTATTTATTTTTGGGACAGAGAGAGACAGAGCATGAACGGGGGAGGGGCAGATCACTTTTGAACTGAACTAATAGGTGATCGTAAGTTCTGGAAGCTCTGGTTTTCTTACTGTTGGTGCATCCCTTTAGTTGGTGCCATTTGTGAGGCAGTCTGGCATAATAGTTACAGTTGCGTCAGAACTGGGTCCACGTACCATTCCCCACTTGCTCACTACATGAACTTGGGAAAATTACTTTAAGATACTGAGCCTCAGTTATTGTAAAACCATGAAAATAAGGGTCCTTACTCCTTAAGGTTTTTGAAGGTGATATCTGCCAATATGTATAAAGCACACTGTTACAGAGTAAGAACTTGACATATGTGAAAGACCAGAATTAAGAGTTATTTTTTTTTTAGTTATGAATGATTCACATATAACTTAGGAATCATTAATCAAACACAGACTTTAAGTAACCTAGGACAGTCATGTCATTCAATTCAAGAACACTTCACTAATCACTCCATATATGTTATGTTTTATTTATTTATTTATTTATTTATTTATTTTTGTCAACGTTTATTTATTTTTGGGACAGAGAGAGACAGAGCATGAACGGGGGAGGAGCAGAGAGAGAAGGAGACACAGAATTGGAAACAGGCTCCAGGCTCTGAGCCATCAGCCCAGAGCCTGACGCGGGGCTCGAACTCACAGACCGCGAGATCGTGACCTGGCTGAAGTCGGACGCTTAACCGACTGCGCCACCCAGGCGCCCCTATGTTATGTTTTATATCAGGTGCTGGTGATCTAAAAATGAATTAAGCTATCTTAAACCTCAAGAAGCCCAATGTTGAATGAAAAACCAGAGATGTATAGAAACAGTTATTCCACAATTGCACAGATAGAGCTTGCTAGGACAACACTCCTGCCATCTCACTGCATCTCATTCCATTCTAGAATATAATGCTTTCCCAGCATGCAATGAAAATTCAATAAATGTTGGTTGATGTTCCGTACTCAAGATTTCAGAAAAGTAATAATGCTGGCCTTGTTCACACAATACTTTGGTCTGGGGCTTTATAAATTAAGTCCTTTCATCTTGGAGTAGATTTACATACACTGCCATTTCCTAATTCATGGGACTTAAGGGATGGTGAAAAGGCACCACTACCATCTCCAAGAAGAAACTTCTGGAAAGTTGATGACATGAGGTTCAATACATATTTACAAAATATTATACAAACTTTTAAAAGTGTCTATGGTAAAAAAATGATTTGGAAGACATACCCCAAAACATTAAAAATATCTATGTAATAGTGAGATCATGAGAGATTTTACTGATATCCTTATACTTCTAAATTTTTAAATACTTCTCAATGAGTGTGCATATTAAAAGAAATACATGAAAAACTCAAGTAGGAGAGAGGAAACAGGTCAGTGATGGGAGTGCAGGAATACAGATGATGGGAGATTAAGAAGCAGAATGGGGATCCTAGGTATATAAAGGTTGTAAGGTAAAGAATAAAGGCAACAGCAGAAAGGATTAGAATGACAATAAAAACATAGATTTACTCCTCTGATAGTATTAGTTCTTTTTACATTTTGGGCAGGCCATATCTCCAGTTTTCTTACTGAGTAGGTCCATTGGCCATTGGAATGACTGAAACATAATGATTTTGCCTATCTGCCCAAAACTTAGGTAAAAATATGAAATTGAATCTTGTTGCAACTTAAAAAAAAATGTGTGAATTGTTCTTAAACACACTAGTCTTAGTAAATGTGTCACAGCAGGATAAAAACAAAATCAATGAACTGTAAATGCACAGCCTTGACTTATTAACAAAGTAATGCATTTTCTAAATGTAAGACTTTTGCTTTTAAATATAAGGTTCAAGACAGGGGTGCCTGGTTGGCTCATTTGTTTAAGCAACTGATTCTTTTTTGGCTAAGGTAATGATCTCACTCTTCCTGAGTTTCAGCCCCACATTGACTTCTTTCTCTCTCTCCCCTGCTTGTGGGCTCTCTCTCTCAAAATAAATAATAAGTAAACTTTAAAAAATCAGGATAAATATTTGTGAAATTAATGAACCAAAATAATCTCTTTATATTTCTGTTGTTGCCTTAAATATTTCTCTCAAACAATTCACTGGTTAGGTAGGTAGGTAGGTAGGTAGGTAGGTAGACAGGTAGATAGATATTGGCAAAACTGTAACACTTTAATTAAAAATATTATTTGATTTCCCCTGATGGATGCAATATCTCTTCCTCTGAATTCCCTAAATATGAAATCAATATCTTAATCATGTAACTTCCACATTCTCTTTTGTAGTATAGATATTTACTTAGACATTTTATTATACTTCCTCAACTATTAGTTCTGTAAGTTTATTGTTTGTGTCCTATTCATTTTATATCCCTTAAGAGCAATCTTAAATTATTTTTAAGACTGGCATTGTATAAATATAATAAATAAAAGTGTTCCCCAAAGTTCTGAGAATATTTTGTGGACTGAATCAACATTTATTACTTTAATAAATAAAAGTATTTTTGCATTTTTAAAAATGATTGTGGACACCGCCCAACTGGATTTCAAAACTACTTCTCATATGAGTGACTGTCAATCTATTATCTGTTCTCAAGCTTTGCTTATGAATTCTATGCTGAGTTTTCCCACGCAATTGGTTTCTGTCATCATCCCTCTGTACATTCAGAATGGAGTGGGGAACCTTCCTGGACAGAGTCTCCCCATTTTGAACATTCACCACCACGCTGGTAAATTCTACAGTGAAGACTATCTCTTCTTAGATTTTGTTGAGTTTTAGTTTTCTTTTTAATAATGATAGAGTCAATCCATCAAAATAATGTTATACCAAATCTGATCTCATCTATATTTTTTCTTCCTAAAGTGGAAAACTCTCAAGTTGCTTAGTGAAGTGCTAAATGCTTTATATTGACAGACTACCGCTGTTCAGCAATCTGTATTTACAGCCTGCCAAAACGAAAGCCATAGTTGGATCTTCTTTGTTGTTCACAGTATTTTAAATTACAAATGATGTTGATTTTAATCATCTTTGCTCTATTCACTCACAAAGCTCGATGCTGCACAAATCAGCTCTCAGATTCAGTATAAAATACTTTTTATTGGGTTTAGCACTTGCATAGCACTTTACACCTTCAAAATACTTTGTAAACATTAACTAGTCAATCCTCACCAAGAAAGAAAAAAGAAAAATACCTTGATGTACTAAGAGGTGTATGTAAAACAGGTCTTAAAAAAAGAGATGTCCTATAGATTAAATTTGAAGGCAAGATATTTAGTTAGCTGTTTATTTTCAGCCAATAGAGTATATTTCAGGAAGTAATTGTCAGTTCTTCACTTTCCATTGTGAAAGAATGCGTAATTTGTGAACAGAATGTGAATAGAGCACATAATTTCAATTTTAGTGATATATGAATTACATAAGTATTAATATTATTAATGACCATTAGAATTTTCCACCACATGAGGAAGTCTTAACATACTGAATGGTGCTTTGCACACTATATAAAGCAAATGTTTTGTGCTAAGTTGATAAGACTCAACTAGTCTCGGAATACTGACATGTATAAGTTACTGCTTTTCCTGCCTGTCCTATAAGTTGCAGCAGCTTCACTTGGTACAGATGCGGGTAAGATTAACTTGGTCCAAATATAAATGAGTCCCCAAGTTCACATTAAATATATGAAATTATATAGCACAGCAGGAGCCAAACTAACATATTATTTAAAGAGTACACTATAAATTTTATTCCTGGTTTTCTAAGTAAAATATGGCTTCTGCCTTCATTGGCTCTACTTTTCTCCCATTATTCTCTTAAGATTCTCTCATTTTAACCTGTGCTTTTAAAGGGAAACATTTGTATATTCCTTTTGGAAAAAGATACACTTACTGTAATCATGAAGAAAACTCAGTGAAGAGCCTAAGATATTATTAACGTTATATGTTGTATTGGATATTATTTTTTTATCCATGCCATAATTCAAAGGAAAACATTTGCCACCAATGTTTTTTTATAAATGCAGAAACTGAAAAAGGAAAGAAAAGGAACATATCAGAAAGAAACTACAAGGCCAGGAGTGATAGATAATTTGATATCCAATTAAGACATGGCCATAGCTCAGAAACTGAAACTTGTACTTGAAGAAATATATGTTACGGAAGGCCTGCACTATATTTTCAACAAGTAAATAATCAAATGCGACATGCTAGAGTTACAATTAAAAGCTGTATGCTTAAAAGTTTAGATTTCAACCAGGAAACGGAATGATTTATGAAATCATATTTCCAAATTCTTTGAGGGTTCTTCATCAAGGACACACAAGTTAGGAACTAAAACTTGAAATAAACTACTAAGTATTTCAATTTAAAAGCTGTAGATAAAACCAAAATGATCTCACCATCTTCAAGCTCCTTTCTTTTGCGTAAGAATCATAAGATATACTTCAGATAAATTGATGGAAATATTATGC